GTGTGTGAGCCACAGCAGCTGTGGGAATGGCATCAGGGCAGAGGGAAGAGCAGGCACAAAGGCCCTGAGGCAGGACCAAGGTTAATGTGCTGTGGCATTTGAAGGGGCAGGAGAGAAACAGAAGGACCACATTCAGCAGGTTTCCAGGTGGGGCCAAGGTGATGCTGTTTCATGGGGAGCTGACTATTTTGGGGGCTGCCCAGGAGGGCCGTGGCAGGGCTGGAGTAAGGATTTGGAAGTCTTTGGCCCCGAGGCTCTTGTTGGAGCCTGGCATTCTCCAGGACCGAGGAGGGAGCAGAACGGAACAGGAGTGAGGAGGAGCCTCACAGAGTCCTGGGAAGCTGAGGCCAGGAGGAGCCTGCAGTCAGAGGCTCCTTTAGCAAACAGGGAAAGGCAGGCGTTTGGTTTAGGTGGCGAGGTGGGGGCGGAAGCCCAGCTGTGTTGGCAAAGGAGCAGAGGAGAGGGGAGAACTGGGAGGGGGAAGGGGAAAAGGAATCCAAACCAGGGGGCAAAAGAGCCTACTGAATGGGTCCTTGTCCTGCATGCAGAACAGTGGAGGCCCTCCTGCACGCCTGGGCCATTGCATGGACTTTCGGTGGACACCTCCTCCATGAAGCCTCCTAGATACGGCAGCCAGGGCCCTGGTTATGTACTCTCAGGCCACCAGCGCTTCCCTGGTTGCACTCTGTTGGTTGTGACCTTGGACTTATCATTGAGGATCACAGTGACTGTCCCCATGAGTGGGTGGGCTCCCGATGGGGTCGAGCCTGGGTTCTCCCTGCGTGGTAAATCTCAGCTGCCACTCAGGCCTGGCGCCCACTGGTTGTAGGAGAGGCTGAGGACGCCAGGGGGTGGCGGGGGACAGACACAGTCCTGCTGTGGAGGCCCCAGAGGGAGACGGGGCTGCCAGGCGTGAATCAGTCCAGAGGAGGTCACACCGACCTTGAAGCCAGCCGGCCTGTGGCTGCTCCAAGCGGCTGCGCATCTCAGCAGGGGACGGACACGCGCTCAGTGCTCCTGAGCCCAGGGACAGGAATGCCCTGTCCTCCCAGGGCTTCCATGGGGAGCCCCCACCAGGCCCAGAAGAATGAGGGAGCCACGCAGCCCCCTCTGCCCTCTCTGTCCTCGTCCCCTCACACTCTTGTGGCAGTGCCCACGTTCTGCTTGGGGGACAGACGAAGGCCTGCCCCATCCATGTCCAGTGGCTTCTCCACACACAACAGGCCCTGGTGGGGCCTACAGCGGAGGGAGGATCCGGCTGCCCCCTTTCTACCCGCCGCCTCTCTCTGGGGTGAGAGCTGGGAAGAGAGGGTCAGGGCTAGTCTCAGGGACTGCCAGCTGTCCTAGGTGGGCCAGGTGACCGCTGTGCATTGGCCAAAGCACCCTGACCCGGGAACCCTCCCGCCAGGGCTGCCTCCTGTCAGTGGGGACCCCGTCCTGGGGACAGGCTGCTGAGGGTCCCAGGCTGCAGAGCTGGAGGGGGGCTCAGCACCCTCTTATTTCCCTCGATTCATTAAGACCTGTAAATTCTCTCATTAATATACTTAAAGTTCGTTTTAAGGGGAACAAGCGCAGAGATAATTGATAATAAACCCTCCGCTAATGCCCTCGGTTTACTGTATGTGATTTATGTCCACTGATAGCGTCTCTCACTCCCAATTACCCATTTAGCTGGGGCAATAACAGCAGTTCAATCAGACCAATACCAACTTTTATATATTCCAGCCCAATAGCCATAAATACCCACACAGGGAGACTTGCTGGGCCACTGTATTTTTTTATTAAGATTTAAATATTCATGCAATTATTGGTGATTTATTAGAGCATTAATGACCTCTTCGAGAGACTCTAAATCTTCCCCCAAAGAGGCCCTGGCCCTTCCCTTCCCGCTGCCCCCTTCCTCTTTACCCTCCCCTGCCAAAACCAGAGGAATGGGCTGCTCTTCTGCATCTCAGATGACATCACGCCATGGCAACGTTTCTATGGTAACAGCCCGCAGGTGAGGCGGAGGCCAAGGATGGAGGTCAGGCGGAGGGGCAGGGCCTCTTCAGGATCCTGGGGAATAGGATCGCCCACCTGCCCTGCCACACCCCAGCTGATGAGGGACCTTCACCATGCGGCCTCATGTTGACATCGGCCGCCCCTCTCCAGGTCCTTCCCACTCTCAGCTTTGACTGAGTCTCGCCAGTCCCTTCGGGGACTTTGGGAGACAGCACATCGGCTTCTGTCGCCCTTGCTACCCTCTCTTATTTCTTTCATTTTAAAACATTCCACCCTAATCACATCAAAATGAGAGGTGTGCGGGGAAAATCTAGGGCACTGGGACCCAAGGCCAGAGAGGGCAGCCGCTCTCCTCAGGCTGCACAGCAAGGCCGGGCCACCTCTCTCTTCTTCCTCCATGTTTCCTCAAACCCCCTTTTCCTGCTCCCTCCAGCCCCCTCTTCTCCACCCACAAGACCTCAGAGCCCATTAAAGGGGCAGGAAAGATAATGAACAAACCAGGAAAACACGAAATCAATATCAGGAGAAAAAAGTACGGCTGCCATTAAGTGGAATAAACAAGATGGTAATTATTTGGACAGCGGGTAATTAAAACGGGGTGAGCGCTCGTTACCATCTTGTCAGGGGGGTGATGGGCGCGGCCAGACACCCTTTCCCCAGCTGGAAGGTTGCAGCCAGGTCTGGGCTGCTTCCTTCCTAGACTGGGCTTCCTCGCACGCATCTCCTGTATGGGGTCCTCTGGGCCGACTGCCCTGTGCTGGTCTGCAGCAGCCTTCTGCAGGCTCACCCTGGGTCACTCTCCAAGGCCCAGAACAAAGGCAGCAAGGCTACTGTTCCCTGCCCACTGCTCCTGAGTGCCACCGCTTTCCCCAACAGTTACCTTTCAGCCAAGGTGGGCACCTGGTGCCAACACTGAACCCCCGCCAGGGGCCATGCACCCTGCAGTCTCTGCCCAGCCCCAGGGGACCCCCTTCAGGAGGCTGTGATGCAGGGAGCCAGGAATGATGCAGTGCTGGCCAAGACAGGGCTATCGGGACAGAGGAGACGGAGACGGCTGATTAGTGACAGAGCTGGAGTCCCTGGAAGTCTCCAAGGCAGGAGGAGGAGGCCCCCCCCAGCCCTGCTGTGACCCCGATTTGTAAAGCTGGAAGAGACCTTGGCCATTGTCCAGCCTGGCTCTGCCCTGCCAACTCGTGTTTGGCTCATACAGCGTTTAAAATGTTTAAATGAGTTGTCAACGTTTTAATATGGGACGTTTCACATAAAAATGGATATCAAACTTCTCTCGAAAGAAAAAAAAATCCTGCCCATCTTGACCAGCCTGGCTGAGGGGCAGTGGTCCGCTCACCCCTCGGAGGGGCATCTTCACTCTCCGCTCCTCCTGGCCCCCACCCAGCCACTGAGGGCATCCAAGTTTGCCCCCCTGATCCAGTCCAACCCCTCTGGGACCCGGAGAAGGGAGTGACTGGCCCAGGATCACACAGCTAGTCGAAGCTGAGTGGGGTCTCCCTTGCCAAACCTTCAGCTGGACACACTGAGAAGAGTGTCCCGCCCGAGGGTGCACAGTGGGATGGAGGGATGTCAGGGGTGGGAGTCGGGAGAGAGCCAGGCATTCGTGGGGCGGAGCTGGGGAGGGGTGTCCTGGAGGAAGTGACATCTTGAGTTATGAATTAACAGGCCGGGGGCATTGGAAGTGGGCAGGTGTCCTGTAGGGAAGTTGGGATGAGGACCTCAGATTGGGCGCATGGGGCTGAGCAGGCTGCAGGGCATGGGTGGGCGACGGGGATGAGCTGCTGCGTGTTAGCAGGGCGGGGTGCAGGGTATAGCTGCCTGGCACAGGCTGCTCTGCCGTCCTGGGAACCGCGGCAGGGATTTGAAGTGGGGTCAGATTTTCTTTCTAGAAACAGTAGCATCATGGGGGATGGCGCCAAGGCCAGGCAGTGGTCCAGGGGAGGCCGGCTGCAGGGGCAGGGCCGGGGCTGGGCCAGCCAGGTGGCCGAGAGGCAGGAGAGGAGCAGGGAGAGTTGGGAGCTGAAGGGCGGGCAGGGAGCGGGTCCTGCTGGCTGGGAGACCCCCCACTCAGACATCCTGAGGAGGAGCTGCTGTCTGAGAGCAGCTCTGGGGGATCCACTGAGCTGAGGTGGGCGAGACCAGAGCAAGGTCCCAGGAGGCTTCCAGAGGCAGAGGAAGGGTGGGGATGGAGCCCAGAAGTGAGGCAGGGGCTGGGGAGCCACAGACAGGAGCTGGGGAGAGCCAGCCGACATTTGCTGGATGTTGTACCTGGGCAGGAAGCTGTCACACACTACCTCATGCCTTAGTTCCTTCACCTGTAAAGCGGAGATTAAAAATAACAGTTCTTGGCTGCACATGGTGGTGCACATCTGTAATCCCAGCAGCTGGGGAGGCTGAGGCAGGAGGATCAGGAGTTCAAAGCCAGCCTCAGCAACAGCGAGGTGCTGAGCAACTCAGTGAGACCCTGTCTCTAAATAAAATACAAAAAAAAAAAAAAATAGGGCTGGGGATGTGGCTCAGTGGTGGAGTGCCCCTGAGTTCAATCCCTGGTAACCCCGCCCCCTACCGCCAAAAAAAAAAAAAAAACGTTCTTGGGCTGTGGTTCGGGGGCAGAGGGCTGGCCTGGCATGCACAAGGCCCTGGGTTTGATTCACCAGCAGCACAAAAATAATGGTAGTTTTTTTGCCCCCAGAATCTCTACTAGGGTTAGGTAAGAAAATCTTCGTGAAGTTGGTCTCCTGATCGCTGTGGCTGTGGCCTGTGTGTGTGTGTGTGTGTCTGTGTGTGTCTGTGTGTCTGTGTACACGCACGCGCGGTGGCTGTGGTTACGGGCAGTATGTCCACCAGCCAAGGGCAGGGACTGTGTGACCTCCCCTGCGTCCCCAGGCTCTGGTCTCTGCCCTGCATGCCCCAAGCTCTGCTGCTTCAGGACCACCCCTGGCCCCAGCTCAAGCCAGACTCACATTAAACCAGTGAGATATGAAATGTCACCATATCTGGGACAGGGTCTTTAATTAAATTAATTGCCAGCAACATTGTAAAAATGCTGATGGGGTCATAAATGGCCGTAGGTGATGCTGTTCATCATCCCTGCCGCCCTGCCAGGGGCCACACCTGCCCTGGGGGTGGAGCTGGGGGGAGCCAGGCTGCAGGAAGCTCTGTGCCCAACCCCCCCCACACACACACACACACTCAGGCCAATTGCAGGAGGCGTTGATGAAGAGGGCCCTGCCCTAGGTGGGGTAGCTGTAGACTCTGCCTGGCTGGGGAGCAGGGCACTTGTCCTCAGGATGCGCTTGTGGAATATCACACCATTCTGACTTAGCCTCTAAGTATACCTGGTAAAGGACACGGGTGGAAATGGGGAGGGGTGCACGGAGAGGGGCCATCATCCCCTAGCCTACAGGCCAGTTACCTCAACATCCATGGGCAGTCCAGGAATCTGGCCCAGCTTTGCCACCGATTGCTGTGTGACCTTGAGCAGGTGCTTCCCCTCTCTGAGCCCCAGTTTCCTCTTAGGAAGACCCCTCCCTGCCTGCCTGCCTTCCTTGTGTTCCCAGTGCCATCCCGTGGCCTCCCGCCCTTCAGGGAACTAGGCCAAGCATTCTTTTATGTCTCACTCAGCTAGGGCCGCCACAGGCTCTGGCAAAGATGGGAGCCTGGGCGCAGGCCTGTGTGAGTGGTGGTGAGGGGCGGGGCCCACCGCTGCCCTCTGCCCAGTGCCAGGTGGAGGAGGCCACACCTACTGCCACTACCACCAGCAGCCAGACCAGAAGCCCTCGGCAGCCCCACACACGGCGCCCGCGACAGATTCAAAGCAGGAAAAGCCTTCCCAGCTCTCCCTGGGCTCTGTGACCACATAATTACCCCAGATTCCATTCTATTTAATTGCAGCTTATTAAATTCTAACCAGCCAATTATCAGCCACAATTACAGCTTAATTCGGGGACACAATAGCTATTTTATCGTTTGTTAATCAAATGCTTATTTAGACCTCAGCTTTATTAACTATTTCTCTGGCCTGAGGCGAGGCCCCTGGCAGGAAGGGGCCCTGGGTGGGGCCCCAGGAGGCTGTCCCCCAGTCACAGCATGCCCCCCTCCCTGGGAGTTTCTAAATGCCATTTGCTGGCAAGCTTGGGGGCTCCTCGTCAGGCCCTGTGTGGGAGCTGGGGCTGTAGCAGTGAACAGACAGACACTGTCCCCACTGTCAGGATGCATGGGGGCCGAGGAGAGCCACAAGCAAGCAGGATGACCTCAGGTAGTGCTGGGCGCAGAGGAAAACAGCCCGGGAATCGAGGCAGGGGCTAGCAGGGGGTCAGGTGGACTCTCCAAGGAGGTGACATTGGGGATGAAATTGAGGTACCAGAGAGGGGCAGCTGTGAAAAGAGCAGGGGCAGTGAGTGGCAGGCACAGGAAGCAGCAAGTGCAAAAGTCCTGTGGTAGGAGGAGCTTGGAGGGCTTGAGAGAGAGCCAGAGGGTGGACGCAGGTGCAGAGGGGGAGGTGCACACCTGCCCTGCGCCTGGCCCCACCTCCACAGCAAGTCCAAGACCTGCTCCTCACCTCGAAAGCAACAGGCGGGTAGAAGGAGCCTGAGTGCAGCGGCTGCCAGATCATGTGGCCCTCGGTGGGCAGCATGGCCTGGTCATGATCCCGCTTGGAGTGACTGTCCCCTGAGCTGGTGAAGTGGTGCCGTCCCCACTCTGCCCCACTTTGTTCTTTGTGGTTCAGCCTCTCTGCATGTCCTTCTCCTGATGCCTGTCTGTCCTTGTGACCAGGCCCCTGGAGCCCACAGGGAGGAGGGTGACATTCCTCCGATCTTGGGGAAGTGGCTGCTGCTTCTGTGACACTTTCACGCACAGGTTACCATGGAAACCAGAGTGCTGCACACGCATGTGTATGAGCGCAGGTCGGAGGAGCAGCCCTCCCTTCTGAGACACTGTCACCCCCGCCTGGTCACTTTTACCTCCTGAGTGCTCCTAGATGGAAGAAACTGTCATTGTCCCCTCCCTTGTTCATTCAGCACACCCTGAGCCAAAAGAGGCTGGACCCTGACCCCTCCCTGCCCTCTGGGGCGCCCTGTGTTATTGGGAGTGACAGACAGGAGGCAGATGATTGAGGGATGGACAGGGGCCAGAGGAGGGGAACCTCGCTGCCCTGACCACCTCGTCCTCGCGCAGGGTCACCTGTATTTGTCCCATTCCACAAAAGAAGACGACAGGCTCTAGAAGCAGGTGGTTTGCAGCAGGGTCTGGAGTGGGTCTAAGGCGGCCTGAGAAGCCGCTGGTGGCCACGAAGACGTCTTTAAGTTTGGGGTTAGAAAGGATCCTGTTGCTGTCCCCACATGTCCCACCTTCGCGGAAATCCACAGCCCTGAGCTGCTGCCTGGACCCTCATGGCTCCTCACGTGCTCCCCAGTCTGTGGTCTCCGGCAGGGTCTGGATTCCAGCCCGGGTCATGAATTTCCCACCTCCACCTTCCATAGTCTCCCCAGCATCTCAGTCCCTCTCCCTCTCCCTCTCCC